CAAACTAGTCTTATATGGTATTTTGAGTAGCTTAGAGGATGGGTGTTACACCCCTTCCATCAACATTTGTCTTTGGTGTGATAGAATTTGTTTGTCAGGGAGTAGGGGTAGGAGAAGGAGCAAGGGGAGTAGGGAGGACAGGATGAGATGAAGGTTGAATAGGAAGAGTAAGGCGAGGGGTGGCAGCTTCACTAGGTCTATTAGGATTTGGTGTTTGATTAGGTCCAGTAGGGATTGGTGTTTGAAGAGAGGTTGAAGCAACTTGAGACTCCACCAACAGCTGGGGATGGTGATGTAATAGAAGTTTCATCATCCATTACAACTGCAATATCATATAATTCAACAAATCATTTTTTAACGATATATTAGTACACAATTATTTTCACAATTGAATCAGTAAGTGATACAATAATACTCATATAAAGTACAATTCACAATACACCATTTGATATAATTGATTCATTTCAAATGACTCTGTTATTCCAAATACTAAAACAAATTATTAAAAAAACAAATCCGCCTAGATACTAAAATGAATTCACTTTCGAAAACAAAGTCACAGGTTGTCTCAAATTCTTGGAAACTAAAACGATCGTGGCAAAATTCTAGTTGCACTTGAGTAAATTCATCATATCATATGAGGATTATATGAAAGAGAAAACAACAAAAGGAATTCAAAATTGGTATCATCTCTTCCAAGCAAATAAATTTGCAACAGAAAACAACAAAAGGTTATATGATACAAAAAGAATCGAAGCAGAATCAGAATTCAAAATTGGTATCATCTTTGCGAAGCAAGTCAATTTGCAACTGAAAACAACAAAAGGGTTGTATGAAACAAAAAGAATCAAAGCAGAATCAAATAGTAAGAAACAGACCTTGACAGTGATGGAGAAGACTGAATCAATGGAGGAAGATGGAGACTGAATCTTGCAGACTGATGATTAAAGAAGACAAAGAAGACTGGATCGATGGAGGAAGACAAATATTAAGGTTGTCGCTAGCTCATTGCTTCAATGCTGGTCGAACGGCATTGCTTCCATGCTATTGCAACTCGCTGAGTGGAGACTGAAGTCGTGGAGCGACAAGTAAGGAGGTGAGGATTCGATGACGGTGACTCAGTGAGTTGAGCTCGAAGCAATCAAAGCCTTAGACCATGATGACAGGTTAAGCTGGAGGATTGGGCAGGCGATGGCAACTTGCTTCGGAGAGATAGATCGGGAGGCGAGAACAACTAAGCAGTGAGTGATAAGTTGGGAAGGAGGGGGGCACTGCGTTAGGGCATCTAAAGAGTGAAAGAAATAAAAAAAAATTAAAAACTTAAAATATAATATAATCTTATATTATAATTATATAATAGGTATTATCATATTATATATTTTATATTATTATAATATATAATTACAGATATTCCAGGCAGGGTAGGATACCTTGCCTATGGCCCGGCCCTACCCAAAAGTGCCTTTTTTTGTTTGGGCTATGTTTTTTCAAGCCAGGCTGGGCTTTTTTTTTTTGGGCTCAGGTAGACATACTGGATGAGCGGGCACTGTGAACACTCTTACTGGAGACACCATGGACCAATCGCCAATGCCACAACCCCTTGTGAGCTGGCTGCTGCTAGGAGGTGTTTTTTTTTTTTTTTTTGAGGGGGAGAGTGTTGAAGGTGAGAGTTAATCCAAGCACTACTTGTGTATCTTAAAGTTAAATATAACCACGAAGTCAAAAATATTTCATCATCAAAATAGTGCAAAATAGAATATATATTAATTAATAAGCTTTGACTGCAACTCATTCACAACTTTTTTTATATGTATTAACTACATTTGATTAAATATTAACAATTTGCATAAATGGAATATTCAAGTCAATGTTGCCGTGAAAATTTCTAACTCGGAAATGGAATGGAAATCTATTAATATCGCATCAACTTTAGGAATTAGGCATCTATAGAAAACATGGTTGATTCTCATTTTTCCAGGTGTTTAGATTAAAATCATGAGTTATTAATTTCTATTCCAAAATGTTTTGCTGTCTGGGCAGATGAATAACTTGGAGATCCCAGTTGAAATTCATCATCCTCTTTATTTCCAAAAACATCAAGCCACATGTAGGTAATACTTGCTCCTCATCCAGCTAATGTACAAGAGTTTTAGAATCAGATTCTAGAAAAACCTTCTTGTAACCACAATCCCAAGCCAATTTAATAACCTTAGAAACAGCCCACTCTTCTGCTACTAATAGAGCCAATAATATGGGTTCAGCAGAGGGCAAGTTGGATTGAAGAAAATAGAGATCATTTTGATGCGGTCCATTTTAACCTGCCCCTGCCAACCCACAGCCCACCAAGGGCTAGCCTGCCAATCCTTTTTTTTTTATATATATAATTTTTATTTTTATTTTAATATGAAAAAGTTTTATCATTTTGACTTAATTTATATATAACTTTGCATTTTATTAGAGTTTTGATTCTAAATTTGATTTCACATTTTCTTTATTGTTTGACCATTTTTATACTAATAAAATAACTATTAACAATGAATTATATAGTTATCTATTAACTTTTGAGACTAATTTAATTATATAATTATATGACAATATAACAATAAGAAGAATTTGGTCTATAAAAATTTATAATTTAATTTAAAAAATTTTAAATATGTGTGAAAAAAATTTAAAAAGAATAGAGGTTAGCAAGTTGGACCCACCTTCTGGCGGGACGGGCAGGCAAAATGGGAACCTGCTAGGAGGAGGTCTTTTTAGGATAGGCTCGCATAGTCTTGAGCCCACGATAGGTTGACTTGTAATCAGCAGGTTAACCCAATTTATCACCTCTAGCTTCTAACACGGTGCGATCTTCAAGAGCTTGAGTAAATCCCACAATCCAACTACCCATACGATCCCTCATTATACCACCACAGCCAGTCCTATTCCTCCTATTAGAAACAGCCCCATCCGCATTCACTTTCACCCCCCCCCCTTAAATTGGTGGTTGCCAAACTGATGGTTCTGGAGCATTAATCCGTAATTTTTTAATAGAAGAGTCATTTACTTGAACAAAAGAGGTCCAAATATTAAGCACAACTGCTGTGGGGTCATTAGGCTTAACATAGTCATAATCAAAATAAGAATGATTTCTGCATTTCCATAACATCCAGACAGCAACTCCCCATATAAGATTCCACCCATAATCGATATTAGAATGAATTGAGGAGATGATCATGAAGGTCAAGAGATTTTTCAGTCTTTATAGCTTTTACTGGGCCTCAGCTTCTTGACTTCACACAAAAGAGAAAGATGGGTCTAAAAGCATAAAGCAAATGGACTTCAAGAGCTTTCAATGTGTTTTTGACCTCGTGTTAAACATCAACCAGGCAAAACTAGTACAACGGGAAAAATCAAACAGGCAAAAGCACATGCAAGTTACTCCCTCAAAGTTCAAGTATAATTACTGCTACCTCTAGTTTGAAATATAAAAGCTAATTAGCAGCTCTAAATATCAGACCCCAAATTTATTTTGCCTTCCAAATTTATAATGCGTTCTAAAAAAAATTCTATTAATTGTAATGTAATTCTATCCAAGTGTAGTTTCAATGTACATAATTGAATCAGGGTAATTTAAGAATGTTAATACATATTTGACCCAAAAAAAAGAATGTCAATACATATTTGTTACAAATAATCAATTTATCTAATCTTTTTAATCTCCCTAATTTAATTGTCTAGTTAGCCATAAAAGTTTGACCATAACTTCACCAAAAAGGACAATGCTTGACCATAAAACCAGGAGGAATTCCGCGAGACTCTAACCTGCAATGACGCGACCTGTGGACGCAACACGCTGAAGAAGTCCTGGAAAGCCAACTTGAAACATGGAATTTGAACAGAACAGAAAGAACCAGAACAGAACAGCATTCCATATGATCTCCTTGCCCATTGTGTCATTCTCAAGAAATAGTTATAAAATTCACCATTCTCCACTACCACTTCGTCTTTCATGCATGCAACGCAACGTTGACGATGGGCTGGGGTTGTCTTAGCTTTTCGGTTCGAGTCATCGGCTGTTTCTGGTTAAGTTTGGATTAATTGTTGCTACGGTTGCCATGCTTTTGTTGTTGGTCTTCGTCTTGTCCAATGTCTTCGTGGAATCTAGTTTATATTTGTGTTGTTTGCATATTAAGCCTTATTGGATCCTTCACTTTACTTTTAATTTAATAAAATTGCCTTCCCATAAAATTAAAATATATATATATATATATATATATATATATAACCAAAAAAGCAAAACTACATGAGCTTCTTACATGCAAGTTACTCTCTCAAATTTCAAACTATTCTTGGGTTTATTAGAGATGAGAAAGAATGAACAAGGCAAGGAGGGAAATAATCTCTTTTTTTAAGAACATTTTTATCTTTCTAATTTTATTAGTGTTCAACTAGATATCATAAATAATTTTTGTTTCACCTTGCTTAAATATTATGAATGTCATATCAAACAAATATTTGACAAAAATTATTCTTAAATCCAAAATAACTTAAAGATACTTTAAATGACACTTGAAAAAATACTTACCATTCTATTAGATTACCTCCCGTTTCTCAATATAAAAACTAATTTAATATTCTATTTAGTTTCAAATACAAGACTCCAATTCACTTTACTCCTCATACTTACTCATTTTTTTCCAAAATAGTTATCATAATAGTTACATATGTTAAATATATCATCAAATGATAATTTTACCTAATACATTTGACTAGTAAAAGTATTTTAAAAAAGACAACTATTACTTATTATAAATAACTAGCTTAACCAATTTTTCTAGTTTACTCAAATTAATTAATTAGCTTTTATATTAATAATTAGTCAATATTTCCTAATTCCTATGATTCTTTGAACTTAAGAGGCCTTAAATGACTTCAGAGAAGACTAAGCATAAAGAAGCTAAGTATAGGGGAAAACTGAAACCAATGCATACTCTAGAGATAAGGGGAAAAGCATAGAATCAAAATTGGCTTCCCATTTCACATCAAGCACCATCAAAAGAATATAACATAATTCTGTCAACGTAATCATCCTTTAACATAACTACTTCTTTGATCCAGTCGTAGGCTCTGCCGGAGGCTTAATAATACTCAGTTGACCCCCATCCTTCTGAGCAACTGTGGCAGCTTTAATCTCATTGCAGTGGTTAATGAATTTGCTTATCTCCTGATTAATTCAAAGATGAACAAAGAAATCAGTAATTTGGATGACTACATTTCAATGCTAATACATAGGAAAATAGACAGATATGAACCTCTCTACAAGTTCCTACGTACCATTTGATAAGAAATAGGAATGCAAGTGTAGGTACAGAAAGAGTCCCTAATGCCCTTCCATTCTTGTTAGTTGTAAGCAAGGAAAAATGACAGTTGGGTCCAAGATTTCAATTTAATAATAATTAAGTCCTAAAAAGTTTTGATAATCATGAGTTGCAAATATCGATTCGAATAATTAATCATAATGGGTTGCAAATTATGGGATTTTTAGTTGAAAATCTCTAGAACTAGAAGTGACCTATAATATCTGATTTGCAGCTAACATTTTCATATTTGGTACTGTATGAATCAAAATTTCTAACTCATCTCTGAGCAAAATTTCTTCGAACTTAACTATTACTAAATTGCTTTTTTGAGATCTGAATGTGATTCCCTAGATAAACAAGCACAACCTCTAGGGTATGATAAAACTTTCCAACCAAAAGTATTCACAATCTAGGTAGTTTATAATAATTTAATTAATGTTGCCTATCGTTGAATTAGCTAAGTAAGATTTCACTACAAGCAAGACTGAATAATCGTGTTCGGAATGGAGCAAGGGCAGTCATTTTCCTTCGAAGCAGTCCAAATTCATTGCCTAACCCACAAGCGAGTGCCTCAGAAATCGCAAGTGATAATTCTAAGCATGCTAGAACTGTTTCATGTCCAATATACATCAATCATTGTAATATTAAAGAGCAGCGTCAACACCCATTATCCTCAGTGAAAATCTGTTCTACTGTCTAGAAGACCAATACGAAATTCAAACTCATTGCACTCAATTCACATCCCAAACACCCCAAAGAGAATAATGCAAGAAGCAACGAGAGAAAAATTAAACTAAAAAAACCTCACCCGATCAGTATCCATCTCCTTTGTAACCTTCGATGGCTTCACAAATTTCTTGCCTGCGAAAACCGTAACAAATTACAATAGCTCTTAAGACATAGGACGGAGGTCGAAAAGTCGGGTAAGAAGTACCTTTGCGAGTAGGAGGAGCTTTTCCATGACGATTGGGCGGAATTGTTTTCTTCTTCTTTTGACCTTTGAAAAGCGCGGCCTTCTGCGTCATTCTCTAATGCTTCTGCTTGCTGCGCTTAGGGCTTTGGTTCAGTGATTTCTTTACTTCCTTTGAAGGTTCATGAAATTCCAGCAGCAGATTAGCAGGATGACGAGAGTGAGCGAAGACGAGAGGGAGAAGGGGAAAAGAGCCCGCGGCTGTGAACTCGTTCGGTACGAACTTTGGGGATTAGGGTTTATATTCTTTCCTATTTTAGTTTTTTTTTAATTTTTTTAATAAATAATCGTTAATTTGAGAGAATATCAAATAGACCAATTTTGTGCCCAAAAAAAAGATAATTTTTTTAAAAAATCACATTTGAAAAAAAAAATTACACTTTGACAAATGGTAGTTATTATAAACATATTATTGTTTTTTTAAACAATCAATTAAAAACAAATTGCCAAACAAGTAGTAGTGATAAGTAATAGGTAACAAAGGAAAAGAGAAGATTTCTCCAATTTTTCAAAAATAAAAATAAAAAACACAAAAACAAAAAAACATATAAAGATGTTTTAGTTTTTCAATTTTTAAAAATATATTATTGTTTTTTTAAACAATCAATTAAAAACAAATTGCTAAACAAGTTTTTTTGTTTTTCTGTTTTTAAAAATAAAAAATTGTTTTCAAAACAAGAAATCAACGAGCCATAAATTTCCGATATCACAATTGTCATAGCACATATTAACGTGTGAATGTATCAGGAGGGTCAACGAGATCTATTCTCATTCTTATTAAATTACAGCCTCTTATATTTATTCCTTTTGGGATTTCTAATACATTTGTAACTCTTAAGTGCCTGTTTGGGTGTCATCCCAAACCATAGTTTGGAAACCCAAATCAAGATTTGTCCTCAAAAACATTTAAACACCTCTCAATTTTTTGAAACCATAGTCTGCCTATCAAAATCATGGTTTTGTCCTAAGCGAAAATTTTTTGCTTTTTGAATGATGATGTTGTTAGAGAAAGCAAGGAGTCCCATCACTGTAAATGTAATCCTCATGCCTCACATTTCTCCTTCTTTCTCCTCCCCAATTCTTTTTGTTTTTTGACCGGTCCTCCTCCTCTTAAAATAATATTTTTTTGTTGAATTTTTTTATTTTTTAAAAAATATATTTAATCTTATATTTTATAAATATATGTAAAATTATTAACAATGCACATATTAACAATTAATTAATATATATTATTAACTATATTGGTAAAAAATATATTATTAACAATTTTATTCCTTCAAATTAAAATATATTATAAAATTTATCTTTTATGTAATTATTATATTAACTTATGCCCTTTTTAGCAATTTGTAAATATATAAAATACTTTTGATAACAACTATCTAAACATTCTCACTTTATTAGAATCACTTTTTCACAAAACTTATTCTTTCCACAATCTATTCTCTATAAGCTATTTTCCAAATCATGACTTGGTTCATCCAAACACCCCTTATAAGACCTTTTTGCTCTGTCTTTTTTTTTTTGAAGCTTAGTACAATTTTCCTTTCCCTTTAATCAAATAACATTAAGAATTTTTTTTAAAAAAATACTTCTTGAATTTTAAAATTCTAAATCAGTTATATTTACTATATTAATAGCAATAGACTACATTTAAAAATAATAACAACGTACATTTATTTTATAATAATTACTTGTTGGAGATTTTAAAACACAAGAGGTTTTTTTGAGAATTTTTTCTAACATCAATCCATGTCCATTTTATTTTATAGTTTTGATAGCTTTTTTTTTTTGGGGGTGGAAGGTAGATATTCTTATTTGTTGAGGGGCATGGCCAAACTCACAAAGCATGGCCAAGTGCTCATCCTATCGTTAGGCCTCGTTTAGTATTGCATTCAAAATAACTTATAAATACATTTTATGTAAGTTGAGATAAAACTTCTCTTATATATTTATTTTATATTCTATAAATCACTATTAAAAAAAGACTAATAAATCATTTCAAATGGGCTATTTAGCTCATGAATCACCAGGAATTAAAAGCTGGTTAGCTTTTTAGAAATAGTGGAACAGTCTCATAAAAACAAGTCCCCAGAAAACATCATGACTAGAAGTAAATCAGTTCCATCAGGAAATTCCAATTTGCCGCAATGTTTTAGTGGTTTTCTGCGGAGGGACATTGCACAGAAAGTTGAAACTTGCACTTTTGCAGCAGAAACAAGACAACAATACAAACGAGTGAGGTTTCAACATTTATTTACCACCTTGGATAGATCAAGTGACGCACACAAAAATGGGGAAAGTAACTCTTTTTAAGTCCATGCCCGATAAAGCATTTTACAAAGTCAAAAAAGAAAAGAAAAGCCTGGTGATCAATGTCTGCACAAGAGTCGGATGTTCATCATATTGATCGTTGCATGGGGAAGTTCCAAAAGGCCCTGAGTCATCATCTTGCAGATTGGAATGTAACGTCTCTTTTAGCAGCGTGTCTGTGGCGTTTCAAGTTTCTTCTTTTAGTTTGTTCTGTTTTCAGCATCGGGGAGCATTTGAATGTTAGTAGCTTTAAGACTTATTTGGAATGATAATTGGATCCTTCAAAAATAACTTTTAATCTTGACTTACGACGTACAAGATAAGTATATGAGATGAGTTTTGTTTTAACTTATATAAACGTTTTTAAGATAAGCTGCTCTAAATAAGCACTTATGTAATTTTTTTTTATTGCTCATCATTTTGTTTTAATATTGTTGGTTGGCCCCAAACTATTCAAGTCATTCAGGCATTATTAATGATGGAGAATTAATTTTACTTCATGTAAGATAAATATATAAGAGAAATTTTGTTTTATAAATCACTAAAGTGTTTTTTTGAAATAATGTTCCCAAACTGGCCTTAACCATTAATGAAATTTGACATTTAAATTAAAAAAAAGACTAAGTTATATAACACCATCCTGAATTTTATGGCAAATATAAATAATTTTCCTAATTTTTGAAAATTTACATTATTCCTACTTTTATATTTATGCGGATAATTTATTTACCATTATTGGTTTTTGTTTATTATTTATTTACAAATAATTTAAAATTTAAGGGATTTATTTACATACTCTTTTTTCAAGTTTGTAATATAAAACGTTAGTCAGAAGAAAATTATGTTTTAAAATATGAGATACTGTCAAAATCTTTTTATTTTTACTCTTATTAAATATAGCTCAAAGGAAAGAGAAATGAGAGATAATAAAAATATAATATGAAAAGCAACTTTATTAATTTTTAAGAGTAAAATAGAAAATTCTATCATTTTTTGATAAGTTTAATAACTAAACTTTTATTTTTTGATACATAAGAAAAGTTAACTAATTTTTTATATTATATACAGGAGGGAATAACTCAGCTTAAGTGGCTATATGCATAAAAAAGAAGGTTTAAGCAATACAAAATTGTTTGTTTCAAATTATTTGCATAAATATAACATTTTATAATAAAAAAATAAAGAAAATTAGTTGCATTCAGAGAATGATAGTTTAATTTAGCCCAAAACAACATTTTTTTTTTTTTGGACGGGTGTAATGTGGGTGAGGAGGGAGCATTATCTGACAAAATCACCGTTTGATTTCACGCAGAAACCCCAGAGAAAGAAACCATCCGTATATCCTCGTCAAGAAAATGAGCTCGAACCCGCTAATAACAGAACCCTCCGTAACGCAAAAATAGCGCAGTTGTAGTTTCCCCATTGCTGACACCAAAGAGACTGGGAAAATACGGGCGAAGAACTAAGATTGAGAGTAGTTCTTCACACTCTCGCACACACATTTTCTCAGATCGGATCGACAAAATCCTAATTCGTTCATACAATTTTCAGCTCTTAGATCCACTCGCTTTCTTTATTCGCACACTTGAATTCGCGATTTAATTTTGCATAATTTGGCTCCCCGATTCGAATGGCGTGCATTAAAGGGGTCAATCGATCAGCGTCCGTGGCCCTGGCACCGGACGCACCTTACATGGCGGCCGGAACCATGGCGGGGGCAGTTGATCTGTCCTTTAGCTCCTCCTCTAATCTCGAAATATTCAACCTTGATTTCCAGTCCGACGATCAGGAACTGCCCTTGGTCGCGGAGTGCACGAGCTCCGAGCGGTTCAATCGTCTGTCGTGGGGAAAGAGTAGTTCTGCCTCTGAAGGTTTCTCCCTTGGGCTCGTTGCTGGTGGCCTGGTCGATGGCAATATTGGCCTCTGGAATCCTCTCACTCTGATCCGGTAATTGGGCTTTGCTCTTTTGGGTTGTTTACCTTGGATCTTTGAGAATGAATGTATTTGGGGTGATGTGAGTTCTGTGTGATTGGACACCTGCTGGGAATGTGGTTCAACTGAGTGAATTTGGAACCGTGGGAAACTCGTTGCGACATAGGTGATGGATGGGTGCTGAATTGTTTCGGGGATTTTGAATAATTCCAATGACTTTTAGATGGAGGGTGATGAATGATTCAGTTTCATTCATTCAGGAAACTGAGTGGGAGAAAATCTTATTATATGACATGATTTATTATAAATTAAAATCAACTTGTTATTGTTGTTTTCTAATTTCCTTCTCTATTTGATGCTGTTAATCATGATTGGTTCGTTTGTTTCACTTTATTGTTTGTTTTTAAGCGTAAGGGTTGTTCAATGTCATATTAAGAATTATTCATCAACTTGGTGAGTGGGTTTGGTAGTCTCGTTGTTTGGCAAAACTATAGAGGAGCATAGGAGAGATAGGTTTCTGATTCAACATGAGACAGTGGTAGGATTGAAGGACACTAGTTGTTTTACTGGGATCAATTAAGTGGAAGATGACGATGAATGGTGGAGATGATGATCTCTTACAGGCAGTCCTATCTACTTAATGACAACTCAAGATTCACTTCCTTTCAAATCATTGCGGTGTTTTTGTCGTTAAATAAAGAAAAGCATCTATTGCCTGTAAGGGAATGTAGTTTTTCTTTTAGTCTTTTTGAAGTATAAGTAAAAATTCAGTATTTCTGAGGATTTGGGTGTTCTGTCGATGGCTCCCCACTTAGCTATGAGTCCAGATGCAAATCCTTCCTTTGTCTTTGCAAATAATTTATTAATTTGATTTATTTTTTCAGTTCGGAGGCAAAAGAAAGTGCTTTTCTTCATCATCTTGTGAGGCATAAAGGGCCAGTAAGTTAT